GTAAAATCTGCGTCGACTGAGTAGACTAGACTTTTTCTCTAATAGCCGTGTTTAACCTCAAATCATTATTTTATTTTTGATTTTTTATACTTACTTAAATTATTTTTGTTAAGCAAAATACATAAACTATAACATTTTTTTACTAACTTTATAATTTTGAACAAATTTGGAGTACTCTTCACTGTATTTTGCCTGTAATGCTGTCACCTTTTGATAGCATTGTCTGTAATCACCAAAATTACCCATAGATTCTTCGGTTAAAACAACATCACCGTACTTAAATCCACGTTCTTTTCGAAATAGTATTTTTAAATAACAATTTCTAAAAACATTATTGTCAAAATCTATAATTTGTGATGTTTCACCACATACAAAACGCTTCTTTATTTTTGTTTATTGAAATTTATCAAAACAATAATATACTAATAAATAATATAAGTAGTAGACCACGTTGCTAAAAAAACCGTATTTATAAATATATATAGGTATATACTATATACATTGTAAACGCGGTAAGGCTCCAAAATAATTTTAAGGGGGGGAATATATTTATCTTTGTCTTATACACAGAGAACTGAACTTCAGTGCCGTACATGAAAAAAGATATAGCGCTCGCAGTCACACTTTATTTTTACATGAAATTATTGAATCTCTAGATCGTGTCAATCATTAGTTTTGCCACGATTTGGAAAGTCAATCATATATCGTTGAGTTCGTAATAAAATTCTGTATTTTTACATATTTCATTTTTAAAGAAAAAGAATGAGGCTAAATTACTACATCCGATTACCTGTTTACACCTGGTTGACACGTATTGTTGCCTAAAAGAAGGTAGTCAAACATTGAATGGCATTTTCTATATACTTTTTTCCTTGATTGAGACCAAATTTATAAGGAAAAATACTGACGGTAACCAAGAAAAAAAAATGAAATTAATTAATTTTTAATTAAAAATTGTCTTGCTAAGATATAGACTGTCAATCATTTCTCATTTGATTAATCAATAAGTTTTATTTAAAAAAAAAAGTATTTTATTACGGAATAAAGGGTGTTGTTCTTAAACCGGATCTTAGACTGAACCGTGTGTGGACGGACAGGACACGCGGCTTTTCTCATTATGTGCGCGGCCATGTTCCCTAGCATTGTCGACGGCGCGGCGATTAAATTATGAAATTAACTTAATTATATTGACATTCGAAACCGGGCATGTGGTAGGCGTGTTAAAAGAATGTCAACAGAAATGTCTATCTAAAACCGCGTCGGCATATTTGAAGACATTTTAAATTACTTGCGGGTAACGACATGCAAGAATGGACATGTGCGTTACAGCGTTTTAAGTTGCCCTCGGATAAATTCGAAAAAGTATTATTTGTGCCGCCACAGTACAAGTAACTAAACTTGGTACTCGAAAAAAAATTATAGTGAAAAAAATCTACTCTTTCAATTTCAATTTTCGTTGGTTTGTTTCATGGAAATTTAAACGTAATACTAAACTTTTTAATTTTTCAAGAAAACTAATCTTTGCTGAGGTAAATTATAAAAATGCACTCCAAGGATTTTGTATATTTTTTTGTTTTTCTTGGACATGCTCTAGAAAAAGATATAATACACTCTCTTTAGGATAGAATAGAAAAATAGTATACTATGAGATTTGTAGGTATCATGATACTTGTAGGTACATATTATTGTTTCTAGGTAAAGTCTGTTCATAGATATAAGAAAGTGACTAACTGATACGAATTAAGGAAAGATCCGGACAAGCTGTAAGAATGAAATATGGCCGAACAGCTCCGTACTTTGCTTAGTTTGTTTTACACTTATCAGTTGAGTCAACCCAACCCTTTTCCGGGGTAAGTGTCGAACCAGGTTTCATCCAAGTAAATAATTGGCCTTTGTTGGCCTCTGTAAATCCTAGTTTTTTCTAGATATTCCAGTCGTCATTTCCAAATTCTAAAAGATTCCATTAAAACTTTCCTTTTGTCAATTTTTTTAAATCTAGAACTCATGTGTTGAATATGAATACACTTCCATAAGGTAGTTCTGCCACATTTAACACCGGTTTCATCTTTTTCAAGCCTCCTAATTAAGATATCTAATGTAGGCACGCTTTGTTCCTCGTATAACTGGTAAATTTTACGCCGTATTATATCTTGATCACTTTCATCTAAACTCGGGAAAATGTCAGCATCGCATCTTTTTTTCCTCGCTGAAATGGGATTATTCACAATTTTCCATACAGCTGATCTTGAAATTTTAGTTAATGTGGCAGTTTCTTCTAAAGATGCTTGCTTGCTGGCACCACGTTCAAGAGAGTCAAATAAACATTGTTTATAACTTCCTTAGTCTCAATAGAATAGCGTTTTCTACATTTCGGCGGGAGCATCTCTTGAGATACACTAGACTCGCACATATTTTGCATAATTCGCACACGATTCAACACACTCTGTATTACACCCGAAATAAGAATGATTACTAATAGATTTAAACAAAGTAGTATACCAAACAAAATATTAAGCACAGGTAGGTATAAAATTATTTTCTGTTACGAACCACAATTTTACCTAAATTTAAATTCCGAAAGTTTAGGTAATAATCTTGTTAATGAGCACCCTTGGATTATCCCATTCAAAAGCAATTGGTCACTTTCTTTTATCTATGATCAGACCATATCCGCTAAAATACTACAAACTAAATCTATATTCAGGTTTAGTTGTCGCAAGCTTTTCCGAAAAAGAATCTGAGGGTTTACAGTCATAACCGAGAATATTTTCACTTCATGGAAACAGTTAATTCTACACTAACTATATATATTTTATTAAATAATTTTCCACCTAGACGTAGATAAATACATGGTTTTCTATATGTATATGATTATAATACAATTATAATTAGTTTGCCAAATGCGAATTACATACATTGTCCCAACCGAGGAGACCGTAGCTAGCGAGAATTAGAATTGTAGATATTTTTTGAGACATTTGAATCTAGGAATCACTAGAAAGTTTACTAATGAGTTCCGCCTCAAATGTGTATCCAATATTATTTTCAAATATTCAATTAGAACTGAGGTGGCTTTTACTTGATGAAAATCCATTTATCAAAATAAATAAGAACTAAAAGTTCAGATTTTCACGAAATTCGTGAAAATCTGAACTTTTAGTTCTTATTTATTTTGATAAATGGATTTTCATCAAGTAAGGTGGCTTTTACTTGATGAAAATCCATTTATCAAAATAAATAAGAACTAAAAGTTCAGATTTTCACGAAATTCGTGAAAATCTGAACTTTTAGTTCTTATTTATTCAATTAGACTTTATTTTTGTATATTAACATTAACGTTAACACACTCATATACCGAAAATGCAATAAATTTTGTTTTTTCAAAGTGAATTGTTGTTTGTTTTTTTCAAAGTATATATCACGTTCCAAACCCTCAATTCTAAAGTTGTTATTGACTTTTAGGGTAAATGCTAATGGACCCAACACGATACCATTTGGTACGCCATATGTTTTGAAGTTTCTGGGTGTCTCCGATAGTGACAAACTGAATCCTCTTATCTAAGTAACTTTTGAATAACTTGTAAAAGCATTTTATGGCTAAGGTTTGACAATATGATTTTTATAGAAACCTCCATGGACGTCGGTAGTCTTGATTACTTGAATTTATCTAGCGCTATGCACTTTTTCTTCAAGCATGAACGTTATAAATCATTATTGAACTGTAGAACTTTGTGGTCTTGGCCGTATTTCATATGAGCAGTATTGTGTCTATGATGATTTTTCACTTTGCGGCAATTGTTGGAAACGTTCGTTGTCACTTTTAATAGCAGAAAGTCCGAAACCAATGATCGCGTTTTCTAATTCACTGGATTACTTGAAATAAGAAGCATTTTTAAAAAGATGTGCTGAAAAAGGAGCTATTGCAGATTGTAAATTTGAATAAACCTGTTTGGACGAAATATGCCTTCCGACATATAATTGTGAATTGCGTAATAAGGGTTTTAGCAAGGTGACAAAATGACAAACGTTGAAACCTTATTGAAAGAGGGAATGAAGATTGTGAAAAATGAATGTAGTTGTAATTAAAAAACACTGTAGAGGTAGTTATTATTTCTCCAGAATTGAACCAACATTGTTATTTATTTATCTACTGTTCGACTTTACGTATGGATAAATATGTTATAACACAAATAATAACGTCAAAAAAAGTTCTTATCTCACTTTTTCCTAATACATATTCAACACTTCGACTTAGGAAATGAATTTCGCTCTTAATTCTCTTTTTTTTAAGCTTGAGTATCATGGCCAATTAATTATTAAACTTAGCAATCATATTATAGTATTATTACAATAAGAAAATGTTAAAATGTTAAACATAGAGAGTGGGGGTTTCCATTTGGAAAAATTGACTTTACTTTTTTATAATTTAATTTTAGAAACTTTTGTACATTTTCACTCAACCTGTATTAATTTTTATCCAAAATATCCGGTCAATATATCCCCCTTTTATAAAGAATCCATTCAAAATTAAATATTAAGGCTCCCTTTTAGGAATTTTTTTTTTACATAAAATTCAAGATTTGCGGATTTCAGTATGGGCCATATGTGAATTTGCGACGGGTGTTAAGCTTTGAAAAAGAAAACAGCAAGTTCTATTCATCAACAACCGACGAAGGAGGATCCAGAAAAAATGTAAATAGTATTGCCTGTGGCAATTTCTTTGAAAAATTAACGGTATTCTATTCAATAGCTTTTTTTTCTATCCTTCATTGTACTTTGCCATGCCATTGAAAAATTTCGCTTACCGATCAGAACGATTCTTTTGCAAAATAACCTAATTCATTTTTTTTTCTCAAAATAATATATTTTTGTTTGTTTAACCTGCTTACTGGAAATCTTGTTATTGTGATTTTCTGGATAAGTTGATGGAATGCGTTTGACCTGTTCCCAAATTGCTTCTGATGTGCGACCCCTTTTGACTCCAATTACTTTCGTTGCAGGAAGGAACACCTTGACACTTTGAGTGGCAAACGACGTCTCAGACTATGTGACGGGCAGGCCCGAGACGAAAGTGAAAACTGTTAGTGATGCTTAGAGGACTCCCCAGAGAGTAGCTGTCTGGGACACCCACGGCAATGGCGCAATGCTCTCCCCTTGGACTGTCACTTCCGGCGTTAATAACGGTGGTGGTGCTGTTGGGGGTGGCCCGTGGCAATCAAGGTTTGTATTTCGCATATTACTCGCGCTCCATTTTCCTCGCCTCATCTTTTTTTAATACTACGTGTTATTATGTCTGGGGCGGGTCGAAAATAAAATTCATCATAACGAAAGGCAATATAATAACGACGGCTTAATTTTTTTTCTTTCTTTCTTCTTTTTTCTAAATGGTTCTCGATCGCTCAACAATTGAACGTAGTGGCGTGTTAAAATTTGCATTTCAACAACTAATTTTGCGGTTTCTATTTATTAAACGCACCGTCCATATCGATACAAACGTCCGTAAATTTCTCCTAATTAAAATAATATTGAAATAACCGTTTTTTTTCAAGAGCGCGCCATTTACATGTGTTTATTTTAAAACGCAACGACTACGCACTTTCTAATCGAGTGCAAGCTTTAGCGGCGTTGTCAGATGGTGTGTATTTTTTTATTTTAGTTTCTCATAAGATGTAATTTATAGGTTTTCTACCATTACTAAAGCAATAATCTTGCTTCTATTAAATAAATAACGGCAGATGAGTAAAGAAAACTTTTTCGAGGACAATAACAAAAATAACATCGACACGAGACAACCATAAAGAAATTGACTTGATAATGGAGTTCAACAGTCAAAACCTAGATCATCCTGAAATTGAAAATTCAAACCTAAACTAAAACTATTGTATTTCAACATCACTTTTCAGTTTTAATGATATTGTAAAAAAAAATACCAAATCTTGTAGAATCAGCAGAACACAAATTCCACAGTCAGAATCTCTACCAAAGTGTATCTTATTAAACTAGATTGTTTAATATTAATAAATTAATATTTGCCCCTACAGTTTTTGAAATATCGACATGAAAACATGGAGGTTTCTCGAGATGGTAAAGACAATTACATTTTTTCGAATAATATGTGAAGGGCGCTAGTTAGCGTTTTCGTAAAAATTATGTTTTTTAATCTTTGTGGTTTTTAAAATATTTATATTGTGTTCGTTAATTATAATTAATTATTATTAACGTTATTATAATTTATTAGGTTCAATGAACGTTAAAATGACATCATAGTTACCGTTTATGGTGTAGTGGTAAGATATGTCCCATGTGATTTTAGTGATAAATAAAAAAAAAAATAGGTACTCAAATTAATTGAAGTTTTCAAGAAAAGGAAAATTCGATTATGCAGCTGGTGTGTAAAGATTCTTAAAATGCTTAGCAGTCAATGTTTTCATTGTTTTCTTGCTTATTTTCATGTAGTTTGTCTGGACATACCTAATTAATATGAATGATGTTTTAATGTTTGGACATGCTACGAAATTCGTTGGAATTCCTAAGAATTTTAAGAAGCTTGTGGGGACGTTCACCCAATAAAAAATATCGAGTCGTATTGATTAGAAACCATCATGAAATCAGAATACTATGGCATTTTGACTTTTTCTGCACGCTTTCTCTGTGTATAATACCATATTTTAAAGTAGTGAGTAGAAAAAAAAAGGTTTATCAAGAAGACAATACCAAAAACAAAAAAATTAACCCATATTTATTCCAAATTCAATGAGGATTCGGAAAATACTTTTTATTTTTAAGGAAATCAGTGCATATCTTTTTCTCATTCAAAAATGTTCAGTCAAAACGCTGCTGATAATGAAAATATCTCGAAACAGAAAATGCATTGCTATGCTTAAATTCCCTAGAAATCATTCATACTGTCCACTATAATTCCACTACGGTTTACCCCTCGCATTTTCCCTAATTAACCCCACTGTGTACACTAGACTACCACAATGAAAAATTAGGTTATAATTCAGTACCCACGAGCAAAGTTCCAGTTGGAACATTAAAAATTATATTACTGGGCATTACCATCACTATGTTGGACGTAAACTGCGTTTCGAACGCCGTTGCAGTTTGCAGACTCAACAGGTAGCTCAAAGTAAATTAGATCCGCGGAAAAAACGGATCCCGGGGGGGACAATTCGATCCTATCGGGGCAATTAGGTCCCCAATGAAATGTTTTACTACTGCGTCACTAAATTCTATAAACCGTACGGGTCCCCACATGGTCCGCGTTTTATCTACCATCCACTTTCGTAATTGCGGACCGATCCAATCAAGATCCGCGGAGAGAAAAGTGCCTTCCGATAATAAAAGGCGGCGCCAGCGGCGTCCCCCTTGAAAGTCCGAGCACATGATATAAATAAAACTATGCTATTTCTACTATCTTCTCTAAAATAATCAATTATACACCGATCTAGTATACGGAAAGTATCATTTTACCACGTTAGTTTCGTTTCCCACGGATCCGAGCCACTTCGAACATTCCCGGAGTATTACCCTCACGGGTTTGGGAGTAATCGGATGTTTTCGGAGATATTACCTCACGGCTTGAATTTTGGCGTTTGTCAATTATGACGGCCATATCAATTAATGTATGAATGAATGAAAAACTATTGGTTGTTGAAAAAGTATAGTGTGCAACAAGTTAAACTTAAAAAAAGAAAAACTTTTTAAGTCACTCGTTTATTGAGCACTGCCGTTTACTGCACTTTTTGCATAATATACCGGGCTTTTTTTATTAGTTTCGGAAATTTCAATTTAATATGTCGCCTTTGAATTATTTTCTATGCTGAGTTAAATGGACTCTGAAATTTTGACATGTTATGGGATAAAAATTTAATACTGTGTTGATGGTACAACATTGAGTCGGTTCAGCCATTACTTGATAAAAGCTCCAATAATTTCAAAACCAGTAATTTCTTGAGATTAAGCAAGAACACTTAATATGGAAAATTGTTTAAAAAATATCCCCATGAGAAAAAAGGTGGGCACACAATATGGAGTACCCTCCCCCTTTAACTACGCTCTTGTAAGTAATGTTAAGCAGTTATGTCAATCATAGCTTTTATGATCCGATCAGAGTTGTTTGTGGCCCATTTTACAGAGCGCTTTTTTTTGTTTTTTGGGTACTGGCTTATTTACCGCACTAAATAGCCATCAAGTCACAATAGTCATCAAGTCATTTCTAGACTTTAAGCAAAAATGGCGTTCTTTATAGCCAATAAGGGATGGGTTGGTCTGTAACTTTTTTAATTACATCAGAGTATCTCATAGATGATCGGCCTGGACTTCTCTTTCTTCATGCATATTGATAGTTATACTTAACTCCTCCGACTGATGACTTCTTCTCCCGGTCCAGGGAATTCTAATCTAATCTAATTCTAACTACATTTCAAAAGAATCAATATATTTGCGTTCTCTATTTGAAAGTATCCACAATTCTGAATGGCATGAGATCGTCGGAAATACCAACGTTTGGACCAGATTCATTTTAGTGTTCTTGGTTATGTATGAGCTGTTTCATATTTTCATGTTATTGACAAAGACTATTCTTCTCGTAACTTCCTCTACACATCCACCCATGTTGCTTATTGTTGACACCAGATATGTAAAGCTGTTTACGACGTCATGGTTATACACCATTATTAGTTTTGTTTTGGTTCTGTTTATGGCGGGAACAAACTTTCCACTCTCCGGCTCAATTTCCCCACATTATGGCTGCGCCAAAGATGTTGGTGTGTAAGTGATAAAACGCACCCTTGTGTCACACCTCCTTGTGGCCAGAAGTCTCGACTCATCATATCTTCTGTTTTGACTACAGCGGTACTTTGCAAAATTGCAATGATTTTTCATTTAGTGATTTAAGTGATCCGGAACGCCCATCTGCTTGAGTACTTCCCACAACTTATCCGAGTTGACGAAGTCGAAAGCCTTGTTGTGAGTCTAAAAACCACATTACCATGGAGACATTATATTTCCGGCGTCTCTGCCCTTCACAAAGCCGGTCTGTTTTCTTGCAATTTTCTTTTTTCACGTAGTGCCCAAGTCGGTTATTTATTTATGTAGCAACACTTTGCTAGTATGTGACAGCAACGAGGGAAAGAGAGAGAAAAACTTTTCTCGTGTAGCGGAATCATAATCGATCCAGTCTTCCATATTGGATAGGATTGTAGTTCTGAATATTATTTTTTAGTTTTTTTTATGGCTTCTTGTACTTTGCTCTTAGGTATATCAAATGATTTCTTTCTGAGACACAGGTTTTATAACCGCTCTAACTAGAAATTAATGTGTTTCCAGATCATTTTTGAAACACCCTATATTGAATGACACTGTTTTGGGCCACCATAGGCCAGACTATACTTCGTATTTTATTATTATTTAAATTCTCTTATCGGGCCCCCCAGTGCCGCCGGACACGAATTAAAATCAAGCCCGACCATCTAATCAACATAAGTTTCCCGTAATCGGTTGCGGCGGCGAAGGGGGTGGCAATTTTTCACACGCGCGCTAATGGCAGGCCAATACACGACCGAGGCCCGTTTTAAGTAAAAACCGCCTAATTGTAATATATTGCCCGGTAATTGCCGCCCGTTCCGGGCACTCCGGCCGATTTGATTGGTTATTTATCGATAGTTCGACGCGTAATAAACTTAATGAGATGTTTAGGTGCCGACAAAGCCCCTAATACGTCGCCTATTAGAAATTACTAAACGTTTTAATCACGTCGTTGAGTGTATTTTAGTGGACCTGGCGTCTCGACTTTGGATTACACGGCGCGTCCGGTATCATTAGGTATCAATCCCTTCGGGACATGCGTAAAATTTTAACTTTAACAAAAATGCGCGGAATACGTCACAGAAAACAAAAGAGAAATGTGATTATATCCGTCACTTTTCACTAGCGTCGGCGTTGCCTGCTTGCAGAACAACCGCAATAGGAAGCCTCGGGATATTTGAATTTTTATTGAGATTGCGATGTAATTTAATTTTCATTTACAGTGAAAACTCCCTATAGCGAAACTCTGTATAACGTAATTTGTTATATTATTAGGTCTCTACACAAAGATATGTATTAATCCAGTCTGTATATCGAATTTCTCACTCTCTATACCGAAAGAAAAAAGGGCACACCAGGTAAAAAAGTAAGGAATATAGGCCGACTCCTAATTAATAGAGTCTCTTACC